CTGCCCGCCAGCTGCGGAGCGCTCGGCCGCCGAGCCCTGAGCCGCTGCAGGAGGCGGCCGCGGCGGCGATGTTGGGGCCGTGCTGAGCGTGGGGAGCGATGGCCGAGGAGCCAGCCCCTTCGCTCCTCTGGCCGCGCCCGCCGCACCCCCCCAATGGCTCCTCCGGAGTCCGACCGTGCTGCCCGCCCCCTCCTAGCCTGCAGGAGCCCAGCGCCAGCCCGGCTGGCACCGCTTTTGAAAAATGTACTGAGGGGAAGCAGCTGCTTCCCCTGAACCCCCCTAGCTATGCTACTGAAGCACAGCCAACTGTACTTCAGCTCTGACCTTCAGTGCAGTGCAGCCTGCATAGCAATGTGACACATTATAATTGCAGCAAGTGGAAAGGGTTTCTTTTGCTGGTAAAAACAGTTCCTAGCCTATTGTGAGATTGGGAGTTGCTATGCTGGATTTTTCTGCCTAATGATGACAGCAGCAAATTTCTCCCTCAAAAAATAACCTCAACAGTAAAACCCTCTGCCCCCGCCCCAGAAAAAACCCTTATTTTTCTAGTATGTATTGAAAGAACGAAAGGTTTTTAACTTGCTTAAACAATGACTAGGGGTGAGGAGACAACCATCTACAAGTATTTGAAGGGTGCAGATTCTATGGAGGGCGAGGAATGGTTCAGGGTGGTCTAAGCAGTATAACTTGATGTAATAGGATGAAAATTAAAATACAGGATGAATATCAAGAAAATATTCCAAACAGCGAGTTCTTCTGGGGTGTGGAATAGTATCTCAAGGGAAGCCTTGTCTCTACAGTCCAGTCTAATGTTAAATGACAAGTTCTTCAAAAACATGGTGTTGAAAACATCTTGCTGTGGCAGGTGGGTGAGTTTTAGATGTCCTAATGCATCTCTCTTATTCTATGAACTGCTGCTCTTGAGGGCAGACTCAGCAGGAAGGTTTAGGATAGAATTGGCATGTGAAGTGAGCTACTCTCTCACCCTGGAGTGATCTTTTCAGGATACACACATCGGTGAGGAAGTGTAAGGAAGCGTGTATGGCCGCCGTCTGTGCTGTATTTGTGCTATGAGGCAAAAAAGAACTTCAGTCGCCAGCACTGTCACCGGCATTATATTTTATTTAAAATAATGAGATCTAATTTTGCTTTTATTTTTGTAGGACTTCTACAAGCGCGAGAGCTAGGGGTGAAGGTGTTCCATGCAGGCACAACCATGCAGGATAATAAAGTGATGACTGACGGTGGCAGAGTCCTTACAGTCACGGCTATCAAGGAGGATCTGATGTCAGCACTGGAAGAAGCCAACAAAGGAGTAGCAGCCATACGGTTCCAGGGTGCCATTTACAGAAAGGACATTGGTTATCAGGCTATAGCTTTCCTGCAGCGGTCTGTGTATGTAAGCAAGGGCACTAGCAGAAATAGATGCTTGCCTAGCCCACAGCCATTCATATTGTTCTGATTCTGTGATGAGCAACAGTGATGCAGAAAATATCACTATAACCACAAATGTGCCCCCTTTTCCCTTTCAGAGGCCTGATACATGGTGACGTAAGTGTAGACACTATAACCAGCAGTGCTTTGATTAATCAATCTGAACCACCAGCTGCAACTGGTAGTAGATCAGGTAAGGTTAGAACAGTTCTGCAAACTTCCTCTATTTTGAATGAAACCTGAATTCCTCCTAAGAAATGAGCAGACTGACCTTTCCACTCAAGTGAAACACCTGGCATTGGTATCACTAATGAGGCGATAGCACTTGCATATGATTGAACCAGGGCTTAAATCATCTTTACCAAAGAGAATTCTCATTTTCTTCTGTCTCTTTCTTGTTTAAACCATCCACTTAAGTTAAACAAGGGGAATGACATTCTCTTTCAGTTACATCCCTGGCTTGACCTTGACACACTAGACAATGGGAACTTGTGGAAAGGGAGCTTGCTGTGAAGTGAATTGTTGGATCATCATTTTTTTAAGATAATATGTAAGCCAATAAGGTTTGGGAACCACTGCACTAGATTACTGTAGTATAGCAAATTTTGCCACTAGCTTTTTAGTAGAATATTATGTCGGTGTCCACTGAAGTCACGCTGTATTACCACTGGTCAACTGTTACAGTAGTTCTTGTACCAGCTTCATAGATTGTTTTAGCAGTGTATGATATGCATACAGGTATCTGTGATCTTGCTAATGAACACTGAATTTTGAAGTCTGCTGTTCACACTGTACCTTTTGTTAGTAACAGTCATGTGGTTGGAGGAAGGCTTTCTGTTACATAATTAGTTTTTAAAGTGGAATAAGAAAGATTATCAGCTAACAAGGGATCAGTTGGTAAATACTGGTCACCAGTGATTTTTGCTGTAGATACACTATAATTTACAAAATACTAGGCCATAAAAATGAGTTATGACAACATGAAATACGTGATTTCAGGATCTGTACTTCATATGATTGTACATGTTTCTAGTTTAGTCGGTGGGACCAGTAATAAGTTGTCCAAGCTGTAATGATTTTCACTAGTAACGCTTGTTGTTGTTGTTTTTTCCTTAGAGTTACCTAAAAGTTGTCCTGGGCATTTTTTGTACGCAGGCAGCCATGCAGAGCTGGGAGGCTCTACTGATTTCTTTGACTTGAAATCATCTGGTTATGATGATCCTATCTTGGTATCTCGAACTAAAGGCATTGGAACTAAACTGCAGGTAACCACTGGCATGCCCATACCAGAGCTTATGTTGTTTGCTGAGAATTTTAAAAATAGCACAATATATTGTACAGCGTACAACTCTGAGCATTGTAAAGACATTGGAGGTATGTCTATGCTGGAATAAAAGACCCTCAGCTGGCCCAGGTCAGCTGATCTGGACTCAGGCTGCAGGGCTAAAAATTGCTATGTAGATGTTTGGACTCAGGCTGTAGCCCGGGCTCTGGGACCCTCCCACCTTGCTGTGTCCAAGAGCTTTGGCTCCAGCCTAAGCCCAAATGTCTACAGAGCAAATTTACAGCCCCACAACCCTAGCACTGTGAGCCCAAGTCAGCAGACCCGGGCCAGCTCTGGGTGTTTAATTGCTGTGTAGACATACCCTACAGGTCCACGCTAGTCAAATGATATGAGATGCTGCTATCACACACGCATAACAAATATCCTACTCCCACCACCGCCTGTCTCCCTACAGCCTCACCACCACAAGTACGTTGCACTTCCTAGATTAAGCTAATTGAGACTTGCGTGTATGTGCGTGTACGTATTTGGGAGTAAATGAAGGTTCTAGAACTGCCATGATGATCTTTTGGCTCTTGAATGTTTCCTACTTCAAAAAATCTCACTGGGGAAACTTAGTACCACGCTTTCTTCGCAACAAATCAGCAGAGGACTGTCCCCAACTCTGTCTTACATTCCCTCACTCCTGAGACTCTTCCTTGGCTGACAAGAGTTTGTTAATAATGCCCATCAATGCTGTTTGCTAGCTGAACCAGAGGGATTGTTACAGTGCAACAGAAGATGCTGAATAACTCCATAGTGCTCCCAGTCCCCACTGGTCTGGGGTGAAAGAGTCCTGGCTTTGCAAATCAAACCCAGATATTGCATGTGAGCCTGATCCAGCACCCTTTGAAGCCAATGGGAGTCTTTACTTATGTTTTCCGCTCAATCTTTCTGTACTGAATTCTTTTGTACCGGTGTAGGTACATAAGCACAACTCCCCACTGTAAACATGGCCTAACATTCAGCCCTACACAGAATTTTTTTCTGCTAGTTTCATCCAGTGTAGCTATCAGTTACCAGGGTAAGTTGCACTGGTGCAAGCCCTGATTTGCATCAGTGCACTGTGTCTGCATTAGCAGTTGGCACCAGCGTTAACTGCATTGCCAGAGCTTCACCAATGTAAACAAACCCATTTGTAGTTACACTAGTGTAAATTTCCCTACTTTAGAGAAACCCTCAGTGACAGTTGTTATGGGAAGCAAAGATGAATGGATGCAAGCAATATGGTAATCTTCAAAAAACATTTAAAAGCCTTTCTTGGGGAAACAAGACTTCATTGTGTGTGTTGATAAATTGTATAATCAATTGCTTGACCATGCTTTGGTTCATTATTTTGTTATGAAATATACTCAAGGCCAAATAACCAATGTCAGTCAGGTTTATTAATATGGTACAAGAAAAAGGTTCTATGCGATACCAGTTTCTGAAGAGCAGTCCCATGCAGATATGTTATATTCACCTTATGAAGAAAGTGTGCTCCCCAAGTTACACACTTCAGCTGGTATTATTTATGTGGTTTTGCAAGTTTTACATTTCTTTACACATCACTAACATCCAACTGTTTGCTCCAGTTCCCTAACTTGTTGTCTTGTTCCTTCCTTATTGTCATTTTGGATACTAGCATTCCAGGTATTGTACTAAGGCATAGAAAACTTGTCAAAATCAAAATACATACATTCATTCTGAATGTTTATTTCAGCAAATGCAAGGTGTTATGGGATACTTAGCATTAGTGACCAGGATTATGGGATAGGCCAGTTTAGGCTATATCGCTGTTACAATATTTGTGCTTAATGTTATTGGTGTTTAATGTATACTAATATACATATGGTGCAGGAAATACATATTATTAACATGATATATTTATATCTAGCCAGCATATATTAGTCAACAGTGTGACTTTTTTAAGATTCCATTCAAGGCCCTGCATTCCAGTGGAACAGATCCAAGTTGTTGTCAATGACAATGAGATGGGGCTTCTTTATCAGAGAGGGTCAGTGAAATATCACTGGAAGGAGGAAGTCTCATCCCCTTTATACCTAATAAAGAAGAAGAAAGCTATTTAATGATGCTCTTTGAGTTTTGCTATGTTGTTAAATGAAGACAATGGACTAAGTAATACAGAACGCAAAACCATGTTCGATGGATTAATTTTATATAGATATTGATAAGCACATACTGTGGTTATCACGAAAAAACTGATGGATGCCCCATCACTTTAGGACAATCTAATATTAGACTGGACACAGTATTTTAAAAAATTATACTGAAGGGACAAATTCTGCACAGGCAGAGAGCCAGGAGGTGAACTAGATGATGTGACAGGACTTTCCCATTTCTGATTTCTATAGTGGACAGCACAGGCAATAAGAAGATTGTCCACTCTTCTTGCCTATGATGTGGCAACCATGTCAGAGCTGCTGTTTGCTTCCTATCACGGCTATTAAATTGGTTCTCTCACTCTCTTGTTACAGATTGCACAGATGTGTAAGAAACATGACACCATTGGCCAGGATTTGGTTGCCATGTGTGTCAATGACATCCTGGCTCAGGGAGCAGAGCCCCTCTTCTTCCTCGACTATTTTGCCTGTGGGAAACTTGACGCTGAAGTGGCTCAAGCAGTCATAGCGGGAATAGCTGAAGCTTGTAAAAAGGCAGGATGCGCTCTCTTGGGTACGGGCACTCGCTTCCTATACGGGATTTGAGGGTTCTGATATAAAATTATTACTGCCATTAGTACGCAGACACTGAGCCTGATTCTCCTCTCTCACTTACTCTGGTGTAAATGGGAGCAGAATTTGAGGCACCGGATTCTTAGTGCACTTAAAAAAGTGTCCATTCCCTCTCCAAATAGAAATATGAACAAATAGAACTTCCTCTCCCCAACCCAAGAGGCACCATTTTGATTTTTTCCCAGAAATCAGTGCTCAGGTAATACTTTTCCCCCTTCTCACTGTTCATTTTTGTAACTCTGAGCTTAACTAGCTTTTCGGTGGTCCCTTGAAATAAGAAACGTGCAGTTTAAGCTGTGCCTGTCTTTGTAGCAACACCGAATATGTCCCCAATTTGAAAACTGTAATTGATTCCACATTAGAAATGAAATGTGGATGTTTTTACAATTAGTGCTGCCTGCTTTCTCCCTTCCCCTAGGAAGAGAGACTGCTGAAATGCCAGGCATGTATTCGCCTGGAGAGTACGATCTCGCTGGCTTTGCAGTTGGTGCAGTGGAACGAGGCCAAATGTTCCTGCAGCTGGAGAGAGTTGCTGAGGGGGATGTCGTCATTGGACTAGCTTCTTCTGGGATTCACAGCCATGGCTTTAACCTTGTAAGGAAGATTCTCTTAATGTCTTCCCTACACTACTCGTCTCCAGTACCTGGTGGATGTGGCGACCAGCCGTTAGGTATAATAATATCTGCTTTTTAAAGGTGAACCTTCCTGGAAGTGAATCCAGTTCAGTTATTTTCTTAAATAGACACTGGCAGGGTTTTTAGACCTCAAGATTGAATTTCCTAGTTATGGTTGCCACCAGCCCAGTTTTAGGCCCATGGTCCAGTTCCTTGGTTTCTGAGATCTTTCATCCATTTCCCCCCAGTGTGGCGACACAGCTTGCAGTCTTCCCACACTACTCTTGATAGGTTCTTTGTCCCAGAGATAGCAAGAGGAATGCTGATAAAAGCATCATTTCTTGTATTGCCTGATAAAAGTGCTTCTGCACTGATTTTTATCTCTAATGATTTTGTAAACTTTTATGATCACAGGAGAACTATTGCTGACTCCAACCAAAATCTACAGCAAGGCTCTGTTGCCTGTCCTTCGTTCAGGGCATGTGAAGGCCTTTGCCCCTATCACTGGCGGGGGGTTACTGGAAAGCATCCCCAGAATCCTACCTGAATCATTTAGTGTAATTTTGGGTAAGTGTAAAAGAACCTTTTCTGTTATAGGTAAATGACATCTAATATAGACCTGATTTTTTTTTTTAAGCCTGGTCTTTAGGAGACTTAGGGTATCAAGGGCGGTGGGGGGGAAATCCCAACAGTGAATCTCAGAGCCTGAGGCTACAGACTTGGCCTCATGCTACTGCGCTAAAAGTAGCAGTGTAGACATTCCTACTTGAGCTGGAGCCTAGGCTCTGAGACCTGCCCCCCATGCTGGGTTTTGGAGCCCAGACTCCCACCGAAGCAGGAACATATACAGTGTTATTTTTAGTGCTGTAGCGTGAGCTTGAGTCTGTAGACCCGGGCTCTAAGACTTGCTGCTGCGGGTGTTCTTTTGCAATGTAGACATACCTTTAGAAGTGAAGTACCTAATTTATAGGTACTTGGACCTCTGAGTGGCTTAATGGGCACAAAAAGCAGGGCCACGGTCTATAAACATCTTGCTTAAAATGTTTGTGTTTATAGTTTTAACAAGTTTCAGCAAAATGTGTAGCTGTTAAGGAGCATCTGTTTCTAGGAGGAGACTAAGAATTCATTAAGATAGCTTCTGCTTCTCAAACTGCGTACTCAGATTGAACGTTAAAAGCTTGGTAAGGGAGTGAAATTGTACACTTTGGGCTACAGTCTATATATATCTAATACAGTGTTATGGAAAGGCAGTAGATTCTCCACAGATAAGGACGCATCTCGGTTTCCATTACAAGTCTGATCTTGGCCACCAGCCAAAAGTCCACAGAACTGAACATCAGACATAAAATTAGCACATAATGTCTGTAGCTGAGATAAAATTTCTCTCAGATTTTAAGTAAATTGGACAAAGTGTCTATAAATTACAAGATATTAAAAATACAGGTGTTCAGCAGAGTCCACAACATCTTCTAACATCTCTGTACTTCAGTAGAATGAAAATAGAAAGGAAAGAAATGAAAACTGAGTTTACGGTTTCATTTAGTTGTGCCCGGGATCTAAGATTAGATGATAAAATTCTAATTTTAAAAGTTATTAGAATTTTATATAGTTATGTCAGAATGGCGTGTTGGCTCTCTCAGCTTAAAATAAGCCACCAACTGACTACAGGAGACAAACTCATTAAAAAAGAAAAGTCTCTAGTTCTCTTCCTGTGGAGATACATTTGCAAGGGAGGCTTGTCAATAGAGAAATGTTCTAGCAAAGCTGGAGCTAATTAGACAAGTTTGTAAATTAAGACACTAAAAAAAGGTGTTCGTCACAGTTAGAATATTCTATCAAAAACTCTTTTGCCGGATCAGTAGGAAATCATTAAAATTAGGTCTGTTGGGTTTCTCTCTATTTGCAATATGGTTCACAGGACCACGCTTCTGAACTTTACAGTCAAGTTTTAAAGGTTAGTAAGTGTTCAAATAGGAACACGAGAGGGGCACAGCAGACTATGACAACCATTACAGTGCTCCTGATGAGCCTTGGGAAAATCAGTAGGATGCTGATAAACTTTACAAAGTATGCTGACGGCTGGCTCAGCGGCAGTGCACCAATTCACCCTTCAGTGCACACAGTTACCCATCATAAAGTGCATGGCAGTGTTTCCCAAATGGTAGGTCCTGATAGAAGGTTTAAATGAGTCATGAGGCCCCAGGTAAATATACACTTGTTCCAGCTTGATGCAGAGGGGAGACCTGGGGGGTTGGAAAACGGCCCTGCCCCACACTCACTGCAGCAGTGGCGCCTGTCCTGCGGGGCTGAACCCAGCTCCCACCCCAAGCATTGAGACCCGGCACGGGGTCACAGCGCCACTCAGGTTTGGCCTGGCTGTCTCTCCCCAATAGGGTGACCAGACAGCAAGTGTGAAAAATCGGGACAGGGAGTGGGGGGTAATAGGAGCCTATATAAGAAAAAGACCCAAAACTCTGGACTGGCCCTATAAAATTGGGACATCTGATCACCCTACTCCCCAAACCTGAGATGCTGCATCCCTCCCCGGCCTAGCCCTGTGAGACAGGAGGCACCGTGTCAGTGTGGGGTGGGCTCGGCCTCTAGCCCCCCTTTTCCCACCTCCTGTCCACACAGGGCCAGTATTAGGGTTATGGTGTGGGTGCATAAATGTAATGGTGTGTCACAAAGAAAAAAAAAGTGCAGTGGTGGTTTGCTTATTAAAAATTTGGGAACCACTGGTCAGTAGCAAATTCCTCTGCTCTCTGAATTCAGTCACTTTGAGCCACCTGCACAGCACAAGGCAACCCCTGCACTTTCCACAGTGGGTGTAAATGGCCTGGGGCTTGAGGTTTCTGACTGACCTGGGACAAATGTCACTTTGTTCTACCACTGTTCATCTACAGCAGTATGTTTTCAATAGGCTGTGCAAAGGCTTTAGCAATGCAGTTCCCATAAGCTTTAATGCTAGTTGCACAGGAAGTTAGCTGCCCAATGCTTTTAAAATGTAGAGGATATTATCGATTATACAACGGTTTATATCCAACACTTTTGCTGATCTATAAACATTTCAACCATTTTCAGATGCTTATAGTTGGCAGATACCTGAAATCTTCTCCTGGCTCCAAACAGAGGGGAACCTCTCAGAAGAGGAGATGGCCCGAACGTTTAATTGCGGGATCGGTGCTGTCTTGATGGCAGACAAGGAGCTGGCTCAGCAAGTTCTGAAGGATGTACAGAGGCATGAGGAAGCCTGGCTGATTGGAAATATAGTCCCAAGCCACACAGGTTACTGGGCCTCTTAACTTGAAATAAGAAACATGGAATTCCATTCATTAGGGCCTGATCCAAAGTCCACTGAAATAATGAAAAGCCATTCATTGATTTAAATGGGGTTTGGACCAGACCCTTAGAGATGCCCTATTTAAGCTGTATACCAGGGGTCGGCAACGTTCGGCACGCGGCTCGCCAGGGTAAGCACCCTGGCGGGCCGGGCCAGTTTGTTTACCTGCTGACGTGGCAGGTTCGGCCGATCGCGGCCCCCACTCGCCGCGGTTCGCCGTCCGGGCCAATGGGGGCGGCGGGAAGCCGCGGCCAGCACATCCCTCGGCCCGCGCCGCTTCCCGCCCCCCCCCTTTGGCCCGGGACGGCAAACCGCGGCGAGTGAGGGCCGCGATCAGCCGAATCTGCCGCGTCAGCAGGTAAATAAACTGGCCCGGCCCGCCAGGGTGCTTACCCTGGCAAGCCGCGTGCCGAACGTTGCCGACCCCTGCTGTATACCAACACAAAGTAGATCATTAAGGGTCTAATTCTGTGTGGTTCTGAGCACTTTTTAGGAGACAACATGCTTTCACATGCACTTCTCCTCAGCTCAGCACCCTGCAGAACTGGGTCCTTCATTCTTCAGTATAGATCAAGTGAGAAGTAATTTGCTACTAGAGATGGACCTTACTAAGTCAGTGGACAGAGATACCTGTAAAACTGCTTGAGACTTAGGCAAATCTCCCTAGTGTCTACAGGCATATAGGTACTTCTTATGTTATGACTGCAATAAAATAATTATTTCTTTGGGTCATATTTTACCAACATTTTGTCAACAAAACTCCCATATGACAATAGCAGCAGTTATTTTGTGCAAATTTTGAAGGTAGAAGAAGGCTACTGTTACATGCTTGTGGGTCTGCCAACTGGTAGTTAGATCATCCCTAGTTAGGTGAATCTCCGTTAAGTAACTCCGTCCACTTGGGTGTACATGCAGTGAGACTTTCACCAGGCCCTTTATGATCCGCAAGCAGCAGCTTTAGTAAGGGAGACACAAGGAAGTTTTGGTTCAGTTGAGATCACTTTTAGCATCCCCTGTAGGGCAGTACGAGGTTGGGAGGGAGCGGGGGCTAAGAGAAAGGTTTGATATGGGATGGAAGAGATCTGTTAATACGTCTTTACTATTTTAGGTCCCAGTCTTGCAAACTGTTACATGTGAGTAACTTTACACATGAACTTAATGGGATTAGTTAAATTATTAATTTCTATATTTCAAATATTGGATAAGTGTTGATGTTAGCATAAATTATCATTGATCGGTTTGCTTAGTTGATTCTAAATAGAAAAGTATTTTGATATTTTACTTTGAAGGATCTTCTCATGTCAAAGTCAAGAATCTCCTTCAAGCCTTGCGGTTAAATAGATCCCAGTTTCTGCAGAATGCTGCTGACATGGACAGTCACCTGCATGTCGAGCCCCAAACAAGCAAAGTGAAAGTAGCTGTTCTCATCTCTGGAACAGGTCAGTTTGCATTTGTAATTGCACAGGATGACATCCTAACTCATGAAAGGCCAAATTCAGCCCCACTGTAAGCATTTACATCTCCATTTACTTCACTGCTGTTGTACCTTCTTAAACCAGGACTGAATTTGACCCAAGATCAAAAAGATGTTCTGTGCTAGCCACTGAAAAACATTACTCGTGGGAAACAGGGTGGGTGGCCCTTCTATCAGGAGATAAATCTTAGACCACATGTGACACTGTTGACCTGCCATCCCAAATGGAAAGAATGAATTAGTCACATGACAGCCAGTCATGAGACTAAAGCAGCCTTCTGGGAGGGTAGAAAAACAGAGATCTGTGTCAAGTATCAGGGGGTAGCCGTGTTAGTCTGTATCTACAAAAACAACAAGGAGTCTGGTGGCACTTTAAAGACTAACAGATTTATTTGGGCATAAGCTTTCGTGGGTAAAAACTTCACTTCTTCAGATGCATAGAGTGAAAGTTACAGATGCAGGCATTATTTACTGACACATGGAGAGCAGGGAGTTACTTCGCAAGTGGAGAACCAGTGTTGACAGGGCCAATTCGATCAAGGTGGATGTAGTCCACTCCCAATAATAGATGAGGAGGTGTCAATTCCAGGAGAGGAAAAGCTGCTTCTTTAATGAGCCAGCCACTCCCAGTCCCTATTCAAGCCCATATTAATGGTGTTAAATTTGCAAATAAATTTTAGTTCTGCTGTTTCTCTTTGAAGTCTGTTTCTGAAGTTTTTTTGTTCAATGATAGTGACTTTTAAATCTGTAATAGAATGACCAGGGAGACTGAAGTGTTCACTTACTGGCTTTTGTATGTTACCATTCCTGATGTCTGATTTGTGTCCATTTATTCTTTTGCGGAGGGACTGTCCAGTTTGGCCAATGTACATGGCAGAGGGGCATTGCTGGCACATGATGGCATATATAACATTAGTAGATGTGCAGGTGAATGAGCCCTTGATGGTGTGGCTGATGTGGTTGGGTCCTCTGATGGTGTCGCCAGAGTAGATATGGGGACAGAGTAGGCAACGAGGTTTGCTACAGGGATTGGTTCCTGGGTTGGTATTTCTGTGGTGTGGTGTGTAGTTGCTGGTGAGTATTTGCTTCAGGTTGGGGGGTTGTCTGTAAGCGAGGACTGGCCTGCCTCCCAAAGTCTGTGAGAGTGAGGGATCATTTTCCAGGATAGGTTGTAGATCGTGGATAATGCGCTGGAGAGGTTTTAGCTGGGGGCTGTATGTGATGGCCAGTGGTGTTCTGTTATTGTCCTTGTTGGGCCTGTCCTGTAGTAGGTGATTTCTGGGTACCCGTCTTGCTCTGTCAATCTGTTTCCTCACTTCCCCAGGTGGGTATTGTAGTTTTAAGAATGCTTGATAAAGATCTTTTAGGTGTTTGTCTCTGTCTGAGGGGTTGGAGCAAATTCAGTTGTATCTTAGGGCTTGGCTGTAGACAATGGATCGTGTGATGTGTCTTGGATGGAAGCTGGAGGCATGTAGGTACGTATAGCGGTCAGTAGGTTTCCGGTATAGGGTGGTGTTTATGTGACCATCACTTATTTGCACTGTAGTGTCCAGGAAGTGGATCTCTTGTGTGGACTGGTCCAGGCTGAGGTTGATGGTGGGGTGGAAATTGTTGAAGTCTAGGTGGAATTTTTCAAGGGCCTCCTTTCCGTGGGTCCATATGATGAAGATGTCATCAATGTAGCGCGAGTAGAGGAGGGGCACTAGGGGACGAGAGCTGAGGAAGCGTTGTTCTAAGTCAGCCATAAAAATGTTGGCATACTGTGGGGCCATGCGGGTGTGGACAGCCAATGGGGGACTGCAGAGTGAATCTACAAGAAGAGAAGTCTCCTGCAGTGGTCCCTGAGGAAGGAACTTGGGGCTGGGTAGAAAGACCCAGCTGGAAGATTTGTTTTCTTTTTTGGGAGAAGGCCAAAAAGGCAGGCCAGGCCTTGTCTTCTCCATTGTCTCCAAGGACAAAGGAAGAGACAGTACCTTGGGGAGGAGGGGCACAGCTTAAGGTTCAATGGAAGACTTCTTTGTGTTTGTTTGGAACTTTGTTAATAAAACCAGATCCCAGGATGGGCTGTTTCTGGACTTGTGAGAATCTCTTTTTTGAGTTATTGAGTATTGAAGAGGGGAAGCTGAGGCAGGGGACCACAGAGCCACCCTTGACTACAAGGGGGCATGCGGGAGGCAACTGACTGTTGCATACTGCTAATCCACAAATTCTTTAGTCCTTTTCCATTTGAGTGCTTGTTAAAGCAGATAGTATTTTAATGCATCCAAATACTTTGATGAAACATACGAGGATTAGATCGCTCAGGTGATGGTAACACATTGTCGCTACCTTGCCAAATCAAACAACACCATGTCAGTAGTGACCACAAATTATTATCTAATGGCTGTTTGGTGAACTGAAGTAGTGCTCTGTCTGATTCTCAGTGGACAGAAACCACCACCATCACAACTGGCACTATAGCTGGTCCGCCTACTGTCACTCTCAGGGCTGGTCTACACTAGAAAATTAGATGAACCCAGCTATGTCGCTCAGAGGTGAAAAAAATCCACACCCTTGAGCGATGTAGTTTAAGCCAACCTAACCCCTAGTGCAGACAGTGCTAGGTCAATGGAAGAACTCTTCCATCAACTTAGCAACTGCCTCTTGGGGAGGTGAATTAACTAAAGTGATGGGAGAACCCCTCCTGTCGCTGTAGTGTCTACACTGAAGCACTACAGCAGCACAGCTGTGCCACTGTAGCGTTTTAAGTCTAGACAAGCCCTCAAAAGAGGCCAGGGATTGAATACACACGGAGACTGAACTGTGCTTGCACCCCAGAGGGGCTCCCTCCAGGCAGGTCACGTCTGAAACATGTTGCTACAGTAGTGGGGGGAAGCTTATACTGGCTACGGCTGTGGTATTCCTGTTGTATGGATAAACAAGACGTTGGTCTTGAAGGCTTTCTACCTGGCACTCATCCTTAACTCAAATTTCACATATAAAAATTGAAAAATATTAAAAATTATATAAAAATAGTAAAAGGGAATAACGTGGTTGGCAAGATTTCTCCATGTAATGGAAATTCCAGACTGTGTAGCATTACAGAGGGGTGAAATATAGGATAACATGAAAAGGACTCAAAGCTCTTTGAAAACAGGGGTTCAAAACAGATTGCCAAAAATATTAAGAAAACAAGGCATTGTTCAATAACAGCCAACCTGGAACACTCCTAACTGTTGTTTATTTAGGAGCAGATGTTCTCCCCAGTGCCCTCGCTCAGTAACTTTGCTAGGCATGGGAGAAGGGGGTGAATCCTCCCCTTAAATAATAGAGCATAGTTGTTGGAGTAATCTGTATAACATTAGTGCCTCCTGCCCCCCATACTCTTTCCCTGTGCACATCTAAAGCTGGACTCTATGTACTTTGTAGTCAGCTTTCCCTAGGTTGCAAGAGTGGCCAGGCTTTGCCCATTAATGTGGCCGAGCTCTTCTGGGCACTTGTTGTTCAGGGAGTGGTACAATGCCTATGCCAATTTTGGAGCCCCCAAAAGGAAAGCTGGTTGTATTATTGCTTGTTATGATGCTGCAGGCATTCATCGCCCAAAGAGTGATAGCTAAGGCTATATTTTAGTCATGGGTATTTTTAGTAAAAGTCATGGACAAGTCACGGGCAGTAAACAAAAATTCACGGCCCATGACCTGTCCATGACTTGTACTATATACCCCTGACTAAATCTTGGGCGGGGGGGGCCTGGGGGCTCTGTGCGCTGCCTCTGCCCTGAGTGCTGGCTCCGCAGCTCCCATTGCCTGGGAACTGTGGCCAGTGGGAGCTGCAAGGGAGGTGCCTGCAGGCAAAGGCAGTGCGCAGAGCCGCCTGGCCGCGCTTCTGCCTAGGAGCTGAGCGATATCCCTGCTTCCGGGGAGCGCCCCAAGGTAAGTGGCACCCAGAGCCCTCACCCCCTCCTGTGACCCAACCCCAGCCCTGAGCCCCCTCCCACACCCAAACTCCTGCTGCTGCTGCTGGGGGAGGGAGGCGTGGTGGCCCTGGCATCGGCCGGTGCAGCTAGTCCAGGGGCTGCCTGAGCTGCTCAGGCGGCCCCCAGCCAGGTGCACTGGCTGCTGCAGAAGTCATGGAGGTCCCGGAAAGTCACGGCATCCATGACCTCCGTGACAAACTCGCAGCCTTAGTGATAGCACATTCGATCAGAGAATAAGCAACATCCAAAGCATTACTTAAGAACATGCCAGTATCTGAGATATGTAGGGCTGCTACACGGGCTTCAGTACATATATATATATATTTTTTTTGGAAATGTTACGCTCTAATCCATGCTGTCAGAGCCGACGTGGCACTTGGTACTATAGTAATATCTTCAGTTCTAGACTCCGTGCCGAAGCTCCCTCTTCCCACTGGAGATACTGCTTGGAAATCACCTGAAGTGGAGAACCCATAGGGAGACTGCTTGAAGAAGAGGTTACTCACTTTGTGCAGTAACTGCAGTTCTTCAAGATGTGTCCCCCTATCGGTGCTCCACTACCCGCCCTCTTCCTCCTCTGCTTCGGACTGTTCCATATGGGACATTCGGTTGCAGAAGGAACGGAGGGTGGTTTGCCCGTGCAACCCCATATAGCTTCAGTGCATGGCACGAAGAGGCATAGGGCATGTGCGTGGGCCAAATGGACGCTGCTAATGGAAATCTCTGATCAAGGGGTCAAGAGGCGCATGTGCCCCAGAAGTGGAGCACCCATAGGGATACGCATCTCAGAGAACATTAGTTAATTCACAAACTGAGTAAAGTCTTCAGCTCCTGTTTATAAGACCACTTGTTCTTCTCTTTTAATTTGAGGTACAAACCTTGCGGCACTTATCGCATATGCAAAAGAACCTGCAAGCTGTGCACAGATAGCTCTTGTCATCTCTAACAAGTCTGGAGATGTGGAAGAATTGAGAAATGCAGCCCGGGCTGGGATTCCCACCAGGGTAAGGACATCCATTTCCTTTCAGTCACCAGAGAAACAGCTACTGCTTTTACAAATCTGGAACAAGTTTTCACTAATAATTCTGGCCCCACATTTATTTAAACTTTTTATGTTAAGTTGTTAGCTAAAAGTATAAAACAATGGCATCAGATAGCTAAGATCAAATCCAAAATCATGTAGGACCTGATCCAATGCTCATTGAAATCAATGGAAATCTTTCCATTAACTTCAATGGGCATTAGGACCCCAGTTCAGTGAAGGATTGAAGTGTGTGCATTGAAATCAATGGGACTTTAGATGTGTGCTTGCTTTGCTGAGCCCCATGCAGCGTACACCTTTAACTGAAAAGAGGAAGAAGAAATCAATAAAACGTCATTTTTTTGGACTGCATGTGCACTTTCCTCTCCTATGCTGCATTTATCCATCCGCTTCTTGAGCATGTAGTGAATATCTGCATAAGAAGACCTCCTATCTCTCACACCATCCCCAATTACTTTCAATAGCAAAGTGAGTCTGATTCTGTTGTTATTATTCAGATTAAGTAGAACCTCACTGCCCAAGGAGTCCCATTGATTTCAATTGCATAACATAGGCATACAGTAGAAAGAATTGCACACATTGAGAATAGTGATACCATCTAGAGCAGTGGTCTCCAAACTTTTTTGATCGCGCACCCCTATCAGTAAAAAATTTTGAGCATGCACCCCCTGCCACGCTGGCTGTACCATTTTCCCCAAAGGCTGAAAAAAAAAAAAAAAAAAAACCCCCCCGGCCCCCCGCCTGACGAAGAAAAAAAAAGCGCTCCTCCGGCCGCGCACCCCCAAGGATCCTCTTGCGCATCCCCTGGGGTGCGCGCCCCCCACTTTGGAGGCCACTGATCTACAGCAGGGGCGGGCAAACTTTTTGGCCTGAGGGCCGCATTGGGTTTCTGAAATCGTATGGAGGGCTGGTTAGGGGAGGCTGTGCCTCCCCAAACAGCCAGGTGTGGCCCGGCCCCCAACCCCTATCCGACCTCCCCTTTCCCCCGCTTCTCGCCTCCTGACGGCTCCCCCGGGACTCCTGCCCATCCAACCCCCCCATTCCCTGATGGCCCCCTGGGGATCCCTGCCCCATCCACCCCCCTGCTCTCTGTCCCCCACCCGCCCCCAGACCCCCCGCCCCATCAACCCCCCCCTTCCTGACACCCCCCTGGAACCCCTGCCCCATCCAACCACCCCTTCTCCTGGACCGCCCCTGGACACCCCGCCCCTGACTGTCCCCCGCCGCCCCATCCAATCCCTCTTCTCCTTCCTGACTGCCCCACGGGGACCCCGCTCCCATTCACCCCCCCTGTTCCCCGCTCAGACAGTAATGAAGGACATAGTAGCATTTAGTGGTTCTCCCATGCATCTGAAAGTTTGAGCTAGCTCCCCCAAACTGTTAAACTGGAGGCACCTTAAATTTTCTCCAGCAGTATATAGGCTTATATCTGAAAAACGTGTGTTAAGGGCCTTCAAAAGGTTTTCATGGGGACGAGGAACACTGCTCCATCACCTACATTGTTGAAAGTCGTCTTTAATGGAATTGAAACACTTCCCTTGGGTATCTGGGTTTTGGTCTGGAGTAGGAAGAACAAGAACTTCGCTCATCTTACACACCATGTCTGATCAGTCCAGTGTCTTTTAAAATAAACTCCCTGTTGCACAAGTCAATGACTGTAAAATGATGGTGCTGCTTTTGGTGAAACCATATTGTTTTAAAGTAAATCCATTCACTTTATATGCATTCTTCATGTGCATCTGGATTCAGCATAGGAGTAAGAACTTTGTCAATCATATCTTCTCACATGAAAAAATCACTAGAAAACACCCTTTTAAGGAATACTGCTGCACTGGCTGGCAGGTGAACTTAGATGATGCTATAGATCTTTCCCATTTCTGCTTCCTATGATTCTGTGAATTGCAAACACCGATTGATAGTACACGTGAGCACTAGCAAGGCTATAACAACTTTTTAAAAATACTGGTATATTTTGGCATGGACCTATTTTGATTTTCCTTTGTTCTCCAAGTAGTTACCCTCATTCTTACACATTGAGTCACTTTCAGTGTTTTGGCTTTGGTTGTTTTAATATTTTAGGTAGTTGACCATAAATTGTATGGAAGCCGCTCTGAATTTGACTGCACAATTGACAGAGTCCTTGAAGAATTCTCTGTTGAACTGATCTGTCTCGCAGGATTTATGAGAATTTTGTCCAGTGCTTTTATCAGAAAGTGGAATGGTAAGAAACCAGAATAAACAATTGTTAGCAATAGCTGTAAAAGAGGCATGAAAAATATCAATACTTGGGGCCCATTCAGGAGCCTTGGGGCCTATCCAGTAGCACACGGCATTACCACTACAGGGCAAGATTCTAACACCTTTTGTCATATTGAGTAGCACTGTCTTCTGCATACCATTGTATTTAAATCAGTAGGGAGTATCTTATGCTTTCATTCATGTAATTCATTCACTCGAATCAATGGGGCTATGCGAAGGGTAAGATATTACCCAAAGAGCTAAATTGTGCCCTGGGTATTGGGGTTGCAGAGGGGCAAAGAGGAAGGAAGGTGGGTGAAAAGGGCTGGGGAGCAGGTGGAGGGTTGGTTCTGTTCACTGCAATGCACCTGGTGGCATAGCTGTGCCAGTGTGTCAAGGGGCACATGCTGTGCTGGGTATAGACCTGGGGCAGTTACTCTTTGCCAAGAGTAGCAGGGGAACTGGGAGTGAGACTGTGAATTCTCAAGTCCCTCCTGAGCTGCTCTATGAGCAGCACAACAGTGCACTGCCCCTTACTCTGGGCTTGAGGAAAAACCACAATGGAGCCTACAGTGAATAAGGCTATTAGAGTCTGACCCACAGGGTGTATATATACACTGCCTAGGTCATCTGACTCGGGCTATGGGGCAAAAAATTGCATTGTAGATGTTTGGGCTTGGGCTGGAGGCCGGGCTCTGAGACCCTCCTCCTCGGGGGTTTTTGGAGCCTGGGCTCCAGCCTGAGCCTGAAAGTCTACACTGCTATTTTTAGGCCCACGATCCCGAATCAATTGATCCAGGCTCTGAGGCTCAGTTCCGGGGGGTTCTCATTGCAGTGGAGATGTACCCATAGAGAACAAGGTTCCAGTCACAGACCGCTCTGCCCAGCAGAGGCTGGGAGTGCACACTCCCTAGCCATTGAACCCTCTATCTTGTTAACAACGGTCCAATTCCTGAGGCCTCAGTGAGAGGTTACTCACTTTTTATTCAGACATCTCCTCCTGCCCCCGTCCCCGCCGAGGAGTGATCTATGTCACACTTTCCCATCTGCTGTCTCTGCACTGGCACAATAGCAACCCTGCAGAGCGGTCTCTCTCTTTCCCAGCTCCCCTTATGCACCGAGTTGTGAGCTGGATATGCAACTTAGGGGTTAGAGGGAACCTTCTGACCCCTTCCTCCTATCTGTGGCGATGGAGGACAAGTGACTATCTTGCCTTTATCTGAAACCTCATTTTGCTTGGCTTGCAGCAGCAGCTGTACTTCGCTATCCTTGGCCCTGGAAATGTAATATTTCCTAAACTATTTCCTCAGAGCCTGGCCCCACCATCTCTGCTTTTGCATTTTAACCCTTGTGCACCTTAGTAAGTTCTGATTGCTGTTTGGAGCCTTCCAGCTTGTTGAATGACACCTAGTGTTATGAGCTCTTGCTGACAAATATTTTATTAATGGACTATCATCTATGTTTTTTATTTTAAAAGAACTTCAGCTTAAATGTTTTATCTATTTTTTAAATGATTTTTAGGTAAAATTTTGAACATTTGTCCATCACTATTACCTTCAGTCAAAGGGGGAAATGCCCATAAGCAGGTGCTACAAGCAGGAGTCAAAGTCACTGGCTGTACAGTACATTTTGTACTTGTAAGTATTGTTCTGCCTCTAAGAATTATTCTAACTCTAGGCAAATGATTATTGTATCACAATAACAAATGCATAAATGTTATCCAGATAATATCAGTGTAATGAACTTGTACCTGGAAATACTGGATTATTACCAATAAAATAGGAAGAGCTAGAAGTTAAATTTCTGTAGGAAGATTAGCTTATGAATAGGAATGTACAAAAATGGGCCCCAGTCCATTAAAGACCCAATGCATGCTTTACCCTATGCATGTGAATAATCCCACTGATGTCCTTCCCACGTGATCCATCCCTTTCGATCGCCTTATTTCTATTGCCCTGTTCTCATTCCCTCCCTCACCCTCCTTCCCTTCACAATAGAGGCTTGTCCCAGTCTTTTCTATCCTGAAAAACTATCCATCAACTATCTTTTTGCATCTCCGACATAACCCCCCATCTCTCCTTTTTATCCCCACTCATCGAATGTGTGGTCTGCAACTGATGCAATGAATCCTTCTCCTCCATCCCTTCAGTCTGCCTTCTCCCATCTCCACACTACTGAAAATTTCAGAGTAGCAGCCGTGTTAGTCTGTATCCGCAAAAAGAACAGGAGTACTTGTGGCACCTTAGAGACTAACAAATTTATTAGAGCATAAGCATCCGAAGAAGTGGGTTGTAGCCCACGAAAGCTTATGCTCTAATAAATTTGTTAGTCTCTAAGGTGCCACAAGTACTCCTGTTCTTTTTACTACTGAAAATGTTCTCACTAAGGTCCCTAGTGACCTCTTCTTGCTCAAATCTCAAGGCCTCTACACCATCCACACCCTCCACCTAGACCTTTCTGCTACTTTGGATGCTGTCAGCCATCTTCTCCTAACAACAGATTTATAAATATCTCCCACTTAGGAGGAAGCTAATACAGGAGCAATTATTCTCCAGGAGCCTGTCTCTGTGAACACAGATGATACCGAGGAGACCTTGTTGGAAAGGGTGAAAGAAGCAGAGTGCCGAGTCTTTCCCATTGCCTTGCAGCTGGTGGCCAGTGGAGTGGTGCGACTAGGAGCAGATGGTAAAACCTGCTGGAAACAAGGAACCCAAAGCTTGACTCATCATGAAAAGCAAGATTGCATTTCCTCCACTACTACTCTGAAGCCACAACAGTACAACAGGCTACAGTCAAATGAATGAATGTTCTACTCATTGCTCACTGGTTTTTCTCTGTCTGTTGTTTCTTCTGTCCTGATTTCAGGCAGACCAGTTTCATATCTTTCATACACAACCAGGGATATATCTTCCCCAATCTAAAGTTACAGTTCCTTTGGTAAATCAGTGTTGGAACCTAAATTACCACATGTTGGGTTCGTGCATGTTCAGCTGTTTGTTAAAGGAATATATATATATATATATATATATATATATATATATATATATATATATTCATAAAGCAAAGAACCAAAGAATTTAAGGTGTGAAATAACAATGGTTTATAAAGGAAATCTAGATGAATTCTGTGAAATACCAATTTTGTCAGTATCTCCTTTTGATTGTTAATCTGATTCCAGAAAACCATGAGCTTCACAAATCAACCCTATATGAATTGAAGCAAGGACAGGGAGGCAAGCTACCACTAGGCATTCTACCACCATGGGCAGATCCAGTTAGATTAAAATTAGGTCCCTACTTGACAGGAGAGGGAGATTGAAAAAAAATTAGGCAACTTCTTAGACGAAAAGTGCTAATTTTGTAGAAAGAGGTTGGTGTCTCAGTGAGTATTCACCCCTTTCCATCGCCATGGTTGGAGGCTCCTGGGTGTCTCTCTGTCTTCTCCCTGGTGGGTCTGTAGCTCTATGTAATGGGGAGTGAGCCTGGTTGTTATGGCAGAGAAGGGGGAAAGAAGTGTTAATTTGATCAATGGTCAACTCCATCTGCCTGCGAAGTCAGAGACACAAATTAGCACAACTAGGTTTAGACAGTCACATTTCTAGAATTAGGATCAAAGCCTCCGCTACTAGCAGTTCCTGGGGCCCTGCTCTCACATAGGTAAAAATAATACCAGTCTTTAATAATATACCTTATTAACGGGACAGCAATTTCAAAATTTGTGGACAAACTGGCTCAGGAATACAGGGAACAGTTTTTGGCCATCATATCAGAAGGTTCTCTCACTGCTTGCATGTCCCTCCAAGGAGCGATGGACACGTCAATGCATCACGTTCAGTGGCTATGTAACCCTTCTGCCAGGTGGAGCCAGCAGCAACCAGGGCTGGGTTCAATATCTAGGGATTCCTTTCCATTGATACAACAGAGAACCGGCTTGAGCCCCCACCCAGTAACCTGGGAAAATTACACACCACCCCTGGGTGCCTCTGAGAGGCAATACTTCCCCACTTGCAAGCATAGAGTCTGAGTGTAGAAAATAAACTTTAAATAAAAGGAGGGAAGTAACTGGGTGTTAATTTGGGGAAATACCGCAAACAGAGTTCATAAACATAAACCATGAGTAAAAGACCCACCCCCAAGAAGGTTCGGTAGTGTCCTTTTCCTCTGTTTCTTAAGTCCAACAACCCATGTGCTCAACCCTTCTCTGCACCCCACTCACAGTTGCTGTCCTTCGTCAGTGCAGACCCAGAGTTCAGAGGTGCATCTGCAGAGTTCACCTCCCCCCTGGGTGGGGTAAAGAGGTACCTTACTCGCTCCACTGCTCGGGGACTCGCTTGCTGCCCCTTTCTGCCGGCCACCCTGCTCACTGCTCTCACCGCGCCTCTCCACCAGCCGCCCTGCTGGTCGCCTGCTCTCGCCACGCCATCAGCTTGTCGCAGCTCTCCGCTGCTGCCCGCCTGCTCACCGCGCCTCTCCACCAGCCGCCCTGCTGGTCATTCATCACACCTCTCCGCCGCACCAGCCACTTGTTCACCAGCTGACTGTCAGTCACCTGCCTCTCTGCTGTGACATCTGTACATCAGTCTCAGTAATTTTCAGCTCTTTGCAGGCCAGGCAGAAACACTGCCCCATCTCAAGTGATTTCAGCTCTCAGTGATTTTTAGCTCTCAGCAGGCAGAAACATAGTCCTACCACAACTGATTTCAGCTCTGATTGGGTATTTAATATAACAAAGAGGCTCCTAATGAAGCCTGTTTAGCTCTATTCTTTGAACCGAGGGGAGGAACAGCTTAAATCAGTCTAGGGAGAGTCCCTTGATGAGGGTGTGCAGCCTCCTGGCTGGGGATTCCTATCTCCACCCCTCTTACTTTCACATGGCTCTGGCATTCAACCCCCTGGCTTAACAACATCCTTTCACTGAAGGTGACTCCCCTCGTTTGGAACAGTTTAAGCAAAGTCCTGCTTCCCTGTATTCCCACAGTAATTACAACATTTTGGTAACGGCATTTCATTACCCCATTGGTTTCTAGATTGATTTACTTAGTAATCCTTATCCATGTGTTACTCTATGTCTTATCCGGTATCTTTATGGGACCTGAATTTGGTATTATCTTGTTCGATGGGTTCCACCTTTTTGAGCCTTTGGCAACAACATCCCTGCCACTGCCATCAATTAAAACAGTCTTTTTGGTAGAAATTATCCCCGCAAAGAGGGTGTCAAAGCCCCGGGCACTTCTAGCGGGCCCTGTTTTCACAGTATTTCACAAAAACAAAGCCTTGCTTTGGCCACACCTTAAGCTTTTGCCTAAGGCGGTCTCTGCATTCCACCTCAACTCGATCATTCATCTTCCAGTGTTATTTTCGAAATCTCATTCTACCAAGGTTAAAGAAAAGCTTAATTCCTTGGATGTTCGGAGAGCTCTGACACTTTACCTGGACTGCAAAAAGTCTTTCGGATCCTGTCTTAGACTTTTTGTAGCCTATGCTGAGAGGATTAAAGGGTTACCTGTTACAGTCCAGCAAATTTCACATTGGATTTCTGACTGCATCAAGCTTTGCTATGATCTAGTGAAGGTCTCGCCTCTACTGAGGATAACAGTCTACTCCACTAAGGCTCATTCCACTTGGCTAGCCTTTTTGGAGCAACATTTGTGTGGTGGTCACTTGCAAAGCAGCAATGTGATCATCGCTGTATATACTTTCTCCACACACTGTGCCATTACTTAGGCTTTCTGAGACGATGCCAACTTTGGCCATCTCCAAGTAGTCTGAAGTTCCACCATCTGTAAGGAAAGTGCGGATGAATCACTTATGGTGGAATGAGTATGTGCACAGGCACTCAAAGGAGGAAAAAATGGTTACTTACCTGTACAATGCTTTGTACCTATTCTTCTAGATGTGTTTGGTCAAATATACATTCCACACCCCTCTCACCTTCCCTGCTACTTCATGAATTGTAGGTGTGCCTAGTGCACTCATCTGTCTACAGTGGACTGCATTTGTGCACCACACATCTTGAAGAACATCAGGCACTGTACAGGTAAGTAACCATTTTAGTGACAAAGGAGTCACCAGACTTGATTTCCAATGGAAGCTGAATCTCCATTTTCACAATGTCAAGCCAGTGACAGGCTTGGCAGTGTGGGCTTCTTCCTTTAATTAAACACTTTGCCCAAGTAGGAGGCTTATTTTAACTCTGTCAGAGTAATGGGCCATCTGCAAATAAAATAAATCAGTGGGGAGGCAAGTCAGCCAAGAAATTATTGGAGTAGTTGGAAGAAGAAACAGCTAGAATTGAGCTTTCTGATGAAGGAGCCATTGATTGATTGATTAGTTCAGATCATGGACATTTATATCCCCTAAGGTTCAATGAATAAACACTTTTGTTTTGGAATTGAGTTTCATGTCCTGTACTTTTCGGGGCCTATTGTAGGTCAGACTCTTGGCTCTAGTGAGATATTCCAAAGCCTGCGGCAAACTCCATTATACATTACGAGGGAGGGGAGTATTTCGTTCAGGTTTTGTATTCATGCTTGTACTGTGGTGAATGTGTTTTGGTAGTTGGAGAAGGTAAAGAGAACTATTCCCTACTGTTACCTCTTGTCTACCTTTTAATATACAAGACATTTATGACTTCGATATAGCAAATGATGGAGTTTTATTGTTATGATTACAACAATGAACTTCTGTTTTCATGTTATCCCTTTCCTTTCTCCCAGATTATGCTGAGGACAGCTGGAAAATGCTTTTGATAGACACAGGATAAACACACATGATTATTGCTTCTGTTCTCTTATGGTACTGTAGTCGTATAGTGATATTGTACTGTATATTGTTTTGAATTGTATAATCTTGTTTGAACATATTCAAATCTAATACAGTTATAACTAGAGCCTTACTCTTCTTATTTATGTATCTCAGATACTTCTCTGTCCCCCCTTGCCGTTGTATCCAAGCAACTCACAGTCTTTAACTTATTTTTCTTCATAACACCCTTGCGAGGTATAATGCCCACTTTGTACAGATTGAGAACTGAGGCACTCATTGCCAGACGTTTAAAGCTATTTAAGCACCTAATTCCTATTGAAAGGCTGTCTGCTTCTTTAGGCACCTAAATACCTTTGTAAATCTGGCCTCAAGTGACTTGCCCAAGATCAAAAAGGACTAGGGTGACCAGATAGCAAGTGTGAAAAATCGGGACGGGGGTAGGGAGTAATAGGTGCCTATATAAGAAAAAGCCCCCAAAATCGGGACTGTCCCTGTAAAATCAGGACATCTGCTCACCCTAAAAAGGACTCTGTGGCAGAACAGGGAACTGAATCCTGGACCCTCTGATGCCTATAGACTGCACATGTAGCATGGGTGAATTTCACCTGTTGGAGAAAAACTGAGTTCTCACTTTTTGTTTGGGTACAGCAAGTCAGATGCTTTATTAACTCTCACAAT